AAAATCTTCAAAAGGAAGAGCGAAACTAATTCTTTATTGTTGTTTGGGACATTTTTTCTATCTAAAAACGCTGCTTTCACCAAAAAAATTAAAATGAGCAGAAAAAACTTCTACCCGGTTCTTGGATAAAAGTGTTTTTCATCAAATTATTTCTAATAATAAATTTTATGTTTGCTCTATAAGTCCATAACCCTTTATGCAAATCATTCAATGTTATGTAACATGATAATCTTAGTTCAACCCTGTCGTTGGAAATGTGCTGGCTATGGTCGCAGCAAGTGGATGTAATATTGAGAGTAAAGACTTATCAGCTTGGGTGCTTTTCCAGTTAAGCGTGCTTTCAAGCCGGATAAGAAGCCACAATCAGTGATGACCAGCGACCCAAATCTGAACAAAAAGTCCCAAAGTGAATTCTAACTAGTCTAACTAGGCGAAAAGTGCAGGAAGCAGATCCAAAACTGAGCCGAAAAACACAAAAAATAGTTTTTTTTAAATGGAGTACAAAATTTATTAATCACGAAATTGTTTCGCTTCATACGCATCATAAATCATAAAAACTACAAGAAAATACATAATAAAAACTTTGGACTAATCTTGATATATGCTAAGAGCTAAATATGTTTAATGCACTCCTCCTGCCTGAACAAAAAGAGCCCACTTCGTTTTAGGCCCCCATTACCCTAGTGGGGCAAATTGGGGCGATGATTTTTAGATTACCTCTGAATACCAATTAACTACTCTTTTTATTATTTTTGTTGGCCATTTCGCCCCTTTTGACCGACACTAAATATTCAATTCAAAAATTCAACCAAAATTTAGCCCAACTTTAACCCAAATTACCAGATGCGCTTCTTTGCCAGACTGTGATGCCAAATATAGTTACCTGAGGCTGGGGTTTTCTACCATAGATTATCAAAAAGCCAATTTGCAAAATTCTTTTTGAACATGCTTTTGGTTGCTTTTATTCTGGCTTAGATTAAATCTGTGGCATATATTAGGAACTATTGTTTCCAAATTTGGCCAGAGACCACTTTTTGAAGAGAGAAAATCAATCTGAATTCTCAGCCAAAATTTATCTTTTGTTGGAATCAAAGCACAAAAAAAATCGAAATCATTACAATAAATTTACCAGCAGCAATTTTGTCTTCGTTTTCATCAAAAAAGTGCGAATTGTCAGCCTTCTTTTAGTAAATAACTGAACAATAACATAACTGTAATGAAGAGTTACAGTTAATGAATTTTAAAAAAGCTGAATTTTATCACCTACTAGTGACACAAAACCTATACATGATGGACCATTTTTAGTCGAAGGTTAAACTTTTTCTTTACACTCGCACAAATTGAAGCTAAAAGATTAAAATCTTTTCAAAACAAATTATCACAGTTGTTACTAAAACGTTTCTTTGAATAATAACTTTTGCTTTTTCGTTTATTTCATTTTTATCCTTCAATTACCACAAATATGAAGTTTCCGACTCCATCCGATATTTTTAAATCACATTTTATTTTAATTAAAAAAGTTGTTAAAACTTGAAGTAGTTGAAAGGAAAATGAGTAAAATTCCAGTGCCCCAATCAGTCCCGCGACTAACCAAACCGACCAATATGTCTCCCAAAATAACCAGCAAGTCCAGTGGTCTGTCCCCATTCGGGTCTCCCTGGAAAAACCGAGACTTCAAGTCTGTCAACTCATCGCCCTGTCGGTCTGTGTCCGGACTGGTATGTAATGCATTGTAGACTCATTGTTGCGAACTTTCGAAATTTCTTATAGGGAGTCGGGGATGTTCACATTTAAAAAAAGGGCAGCCGGTGACTTTGCATGTAGCACAGAATGTTCCGACATTGTCTTTAAAAGTCTACCAAAATTAATTTTTTTAAATAGGTTAGCTTTTTATGTAAGGTGTGATGAAAAGCTGACATAAAAATATAATTTGAACATATTCAATAGTCATAGTAATATGGGCGATCCGAGCAACGTTTCTACAGAAAAATTACTAGAAAAACAAAAAAAAATCAAAAAAGTTCATTTTCTTTAAATATTTTTGCATGGTAATGAATATATCCAAAAGCTAATTATATTCAAGTAATATTGATGTCAAGCATAATTAACCTATTGTAAACGGCCTAAATTTAGCATAGATAAGAATGCTCGCTTGGTTTATTCGCTCGAAACTAGACAAAACATCAAAAAAATTCAAACCAATTTTTCTCGACACTGGGAAAAAATTTTGAATCTTTTTGATGTGGTTCAAAACCCGACTTAAAGAACTAGAAGATTTACCACTCAACCCAGTCCGATGATTAATTGTGGTACCTGATGTTGCGTAGAAAACTAAGAGAAAAAAACTAAAACGCACTGAAAGACAAGTTTCCTCCCCATTTTCAATGGTAAAAAAAACTGGTGAATTAAACTCGAAGACAATTTGATTCATATGCACTCAAATCTCAACAAACTGATAGAGTCAGTTTTAAAGCGTTATACCAAAAGGTTTTTGCACCACCTATATTTTTGACGAGTTAGAACACATTTTGCGTCAAATACCCACAACTTATTTCCTTCTTTCCGTCCAAAAGTTTCATCTTTCCTATATTTCTCAGAAAAAAGATTATTTTTTTTTACATCTGATTCTTTTATGAAGAATTCATAGGCTTTAAAGCTACTGACAACAAGAAATCAAGATCAAGTTTTTTGCTCTGACAGAATTTATTGCAAATTGCGATTAATTTCTAAAAATTACAAAAAAAAATTAAATATATGAAAACAGAAACTAAAATTACTTGAGAGATTTAAAAAAAACTGATAATTATACAGAGGTGGAATTTTTTCCTATAACTAGTTCATTGGCAAGTAGTTCATTTTTCTCACGGTTAATTTTCTTTGCATCTCAAAGTTGAAGTTAAAATTTTTTTCTTCAATTTTTCAAAGCTAAATTTTGACAATTTATATTAAAGAATACAAAAAAAACCGTTCGGCTATGTTTGTTTTGAACAAAATTTGTTTTATTATAATGAGAGTTGAGAGTGCGTTCTACCTTTTTTGTCAACTCCTACTTCTAATTAAAAAATCTCACCTAATAAAATTTGTTCGGGTTGTAATTGCAGCAAAGTTCAGTGGTGAGTCAGTAAAAAATGTATAGACTGGCATTGTTGAGTCTGAATTTGGTCAGCGGGAATTCAACGCTGAAAAAACTAAATCAGTGTTTGTACTGCTTGAACCAGCAGTTATTCAGCGATACAAAAAACAGTAGAGTAGACAAACACTAAAAATAACGGGATCCAGGGGTGGATTTAGGGGTTGGGGTGCGGTCGCCCCCTCTCTGGGATTTGACCCCCTGCCGACCCAACTGGTCCCCCCTTTGTACTTGTTTGAAGCATCCATGTTTTGCGACGGACCCTAAAAATTTTCTAAAGGCGCCTTTGGCACTAATATATACTAATTTTGAGGGGGGAAAGCGCGCCGAAAAAGCGCGTTTTTTTTTTGTTCAAAACTTTCAAAAAATCATCTAAAAATGCTTTTTTTGGACCATTTTTTCTAGAATTTTGCTTGCGGCGCAGAAAATTTGACCAAAATAAGGTCTTTTCGATGCTTTGGGAGAACTCGAAAATTAATTTGATCGATCTAAAAAGAAAGGTCGTCAAAATGTTCGAAATTTTTTTTCGTTGAGAATTTGCAGCCCCACCCCCTCCATCGAGAAAATCCTAGATCCGCCTCTGACGGGATCAATCCTAATTACACAGAAAATCTTGGTTCCGCCTTACAGAATCGGTTTTCAAGAATTAAGAGTTCATTTCTGATATTTTGACATGAGTAGCAGCTACTTGTTCAGTTTTTACGGACAGATCATATCATTCAGATGTTTATCAAAAATTTGGTTTAACTTGCATTTTTTAACGACTTTGGCGCGTTATGATGGGACTTTGCGCTGTTCGTGATCTGTATTGCGAATTTAGCGATTTTAATAGCGACTGAGCATGATACTTTTTGCGAGTTTGCGCGATTTATAGAGCAACATTCAGGGGCGGATCTAAGATTTTCTCGAGGAGGGGGGGGGGGGGGAGGGGGGGGGCTATGCTCAATTTTCTTTGCTCGCCTCATGTTGCAAAACTGCGCGACCTAACGCAACTTTGCGCGCCCTCTCTTAAGCTAGGTTATGAATTTGACCGACTCAAACCTATGCGGAAACCTATGAGTGTTTTGGTCGCACAACGGACTTTTCCGCGACCAGTTCGCTGGCGGCATAAGTTGCGGAACTCGGCCCGGGATTTGAGGTCAGCGATTGAATTTGAATTTTTTTCTATGTTTCTGAATCTAAATTGCTGACTCTCCCAAATATCCCTTGAAATTGCTTTTAAAATACATTTTGTTTTAGCTGATGGCTTTTTTTCTAGGTTGCAGACTTTGGAGCTTCTACGCATTCAAAATGTATCTTTGTTATTCAGTTGACTAATTTTCTTGAAGTTCCAGACAAAACTCAGACTGAATGAGTGTGAGATAAATTAATTGGGTTTCAAAGGGAATCATATCATTGATCATATTTTTTCATAGTTTTAATTAGCAATTCAGCAGACAGGTTCAAAGCTATTTATGCACTGAAGCAGACGACGAAATTGCCACTCATGCTGATTTTTTCGCCTGTCGAAATTGCCACTCGATTTTTTCGCCTGTTTGTATATATGCAAAATCTCTGACCAAGACAAGGATTTTGTTAGCAAAAAGCTGATAAATGAAATGAAAATAGGTTGATTAGGATTATGATTTATTCGAATCGTCAAAGTCTATTAAGTGTCGATATTTTGGTTTCACTTGACTTTTTCTCCAGTTTCATACCTTCTTTAACCATTTTAATCAAATATTGTTGTCAAATTGAAATCCATGCGATTATTCATAAATGGTTTTTAATACATATTTTTGCCTTTTTGGGTGTGGGAAAATCTGTGTTTTGAAGTGGTGTTCTACTGAAAAAGTTTGTTCATATTTATATTTTGCTGTTGTTGTTTCAGCAAGGCGAGACTGCCCTTGACATTGCAAACAGATTAGGGAATGATGACCTCTTCCCACCCTCATCCACACTCTTCTTGCCCTCTGCAACTCTGCCCTCTCAAAAACACACAGACAATGTGAACAATCAAAACACCTGTTCATCCGCCGATCAACAGGTAAACTCATTATGATTTTTTCTGTTAATACAACAATTGATCGAATAATACAATTCAAAGGATTGTTTTTTACTTCAAACGTAACCCTAGTCGATCAAGGGAGGTTATCTTGCAAGATCTTGCAAGAATCTTGCAAGATTCTTTTAAAGAGGATGCATCTCTTTAAAAGATCTTGCAAGATTCTTGCAAGATCTTGCAAGATAACCTCCTTTAAAGATAATCTTTTTTTTGCAAGATCTTTAAAGATACAATTTTTTTGGGCAAAAAAAGCTTTACACGCGAAGACAACCAAGTAGCGTTCGTGGAAGAAGGAAGCAATCTTAGCTACGCATACATACACACAGCCCGCTAGGCGGTTGCCCCCAGAAAGCTTCTTTTTTTAAAACTTTTTTTGTGATAGGCGGCTATCTTCAAGTTTTGATCGACTACTTATACCTTAATCTCTCAAAATAGGAAAAACACAATTTACATCAATTGAGAGCATAAATTTAAAGAAATAAAAACAGGTAAAGATTAAGCACAAGATGAACGCAAGTAAACATTAAAAAATAACACTGACGTTGTTGAAAAATCTCAACTTTCAAAACTCAAAGAAAAAAATAGAAGCCCTTTAAGCTCTTTAAATTTCTAGAACAATTTATGATGGGCGCTTTTTTGATAACATGAACCCGACTTGAGAAAACTGGATCAATAAGTAAAGTTTTTATTCTCTGGAAATCTAAAAAGTAAATTCCACTTTCAAAACTAGAAATCGATAGTCGAAAAAACTAAATATACCCGGTTTGAACTAATTAAAGCAATTCGTCACAAACATTTTTTGGCCAATAATCCTTCAATTTTCGCAAACCAGTAGCCGCAATAATTGCGAATAAATTAAAAAGATTTGATTGGTTGATACTTTTAATCTCATTGAATAAATTAACAACAAATATGCGACTACTTTTTAACGCATGATTTTTGTCTAATTTTATTCGTTAAGCATTTAGAAACATCTCGTTCTAGAAATTTTATTCGTTAAGCATCTCGTTCTAGAAACAATTTTTTTGATCTTACACCTAATTTCTGTTATTTTTTTTGTGTTTTTCGACAGAAATTTTGGGATGGTTATCTTGCAAGATTCTTGCAAGATTCTTGCAAGATAGCCTCCCTCTTTCAAGATTCTTGCAAGATAACCTCCATCTTGCAAGATCTTGCAAGATAACCTCCATCTTGCAAGATCTTGCAAGATAACCCTCTTTTGCAAGAATCTTGCAAGATCTTGCAAGATAACCTCCCTTGATCGACTAGGGAAGTCACTTGGTGGATTTGATAATATTTGAGAATTCAAAGTGTTTTTTTTTTGAAATATATAGCTTTTTCAAATACTACTATTATCAAAAATATAACCAGGTTATTTGAAAGATTATATCGTTGCATTTGAATTATCCTTAATTTTTAAGCTAAGCTTCAGTACCTTGTATTTGTTTCAACAAAATATTTCTATAAGTCTATCATAGTGAAAATCAATGATTTTTGAAGGTTCGACAACATAAATCGAAATTTTGGGCTGAGAAAAAAGAAAAAATATCTCAAAAGGAAATAAGGCGATATATTTTTTCTCTAATTTGTAGACAAAATTGACTTTTAACTTTTGCCATTTTGTCAAAACAACTATTTATCTTTTTTGCGAAACAATTCTTTTTTCAGTCTGTTTGTTTTTCGCATTCATTAAAAAAAACATAAATGTTGCGCTAGTTTACGTCATAGGTTTGCCAATTATAATTCCGTTGTGTTTGTCTGTTTTTTACATTATTCAGTAGAAATATTCAATTTTTTTTTGTCATTGAAAAAACTAAGTTAAAATGTATTGGAAAACTCTAAATGCCAGAAAATGGTAAGTAACTTCAAAAAACACGTGAACGTGTCAGTTTCTCGATGATTTTTTTGCTTCAAGTCAACTAGTTTAAAGCCGATGAGTTTAAGTAATGAAAAAAAAACTTTTAACATTTTGATTGCAACCTTTTTAATCCACTAGTCTCCGTCAATTTTTTTCAAGTTAGCCTTCAGATTCGTGGTTTTTAATTTTCAGGAAAAAGTTTTGACAATTTTTCTGCTTTTCAACCAACTATTTAGGGAAAAAAGATATATATGGCACCATTCTATCAGTGTTTTTACCGTCTTGAAACTGAAAAATTGATCTGAGGTTTGTTCAAAATTTTGATTTATAAAAACTAATAGCAAAATGTCAATTAACGAAAATGTCACGGCTAATGGAAGCGCAGTGAAATTTTCCCATTATTGTTCAATTCCAGTTCCCACTTGTCGAGACTTTGAAATAGCTTGATTGAGAGTTATCTTAACTTTTTGATTGAAAAACTCAATCTTTTTTTATTGTAAATTTTTTAAAATTCGTTTTCATGAAAGAAGTGCTCATACAAAAAAAATTATCAAAGTTCCATCTTGGAAAGGAGCGCCAAAAAGACTATTTTCAGGTTAATTCATTGAAGTAACATCATTGCAAACAATTGCATAATTAAACAGTCTGCTAAATGAGCAGTAAGTCTTTGTTCTCAGAAATCAGTCATAGCTTCAAACAGTCTCTCTTGGATCGATTGATTTTCGAAGTGAAAATGAAAGAGAGAGACAGAGGCAAGTGGAATCAACAGCCACTGACTAATAAATAGCACTGTCACCTCAAAACCCCTCTGATCTATATACCCCCCCCCCCCCCACCGACAAGTACCTACTATACCTACCTATGCTCCTAGCACGCGTCAACACAAACATTAAAAATGTCGAAAGGGCCGCCAAATGACAAAGACAGAAAGGAAACTAGAAAGTTTTGAATTGCAAATCAGAATTGAGAAATTGAGAGATCAGAAATCCGAAGAAAAAACGTGATAATTGATTATTTTTTGCAAGAAAGTTCGAGTTCTTTGACTGTTTTTTCTTCTGCAAATAGAACATTATTTTACTATACATTAGTCCCGGAGAGTAATCGATTCTTTGTAAAGTCACCTCGACTTACTCCAGTTACCAACTTTTATTTCATTATCTCTCAGTCTTTTTCGCTTTTAATCTCAAGTTTCAAGTCACAGATTCATTACTTATAAGTTATAATATCATTTAATACCCTCTTGTTCATTACTGCTAAAAGATATTTTTTTAAAAATAAAATTTTACTTATTTCCAATATATATCCAATTTTTGCCAAAACAGCGCTGATATTTTCATTCTGCCTTCTTTGAAATGTTCCAGCTAAATGCCAAAAAATTTAAATGACGGAAAAGTCAACGTCTTATGTGTCTTGAAAACATTCACGCTTTTAGTTCATATATTTTCTGTTTATACAAACACTTGATTGTTGAGGTGTAACAAAATAGGTTTTCGACTTCGATTTCACTCAAATCAAAACGTCAACAAGGGCAATCATATCTGTCCATTCATTCCAGTTGACATAACTTGGTGTTTTAATTTTTATCAGAAGTATTGCAATTTAGATAAACCGAACTTATCATCTGTCATTATTACCATTTTTCAAGCCACCGATTGCTTTTTTTTCTCGCTTTTCCTCAAATTTACTTCACATTTCCCATCATTTTTTCACGCCAATGCCTGAAGAGATAATTTTTTCCACGTTTTTTCTGGTAAACAACCTGAATGTGAATATTTTCCCGGCAAACATTTTTTAACCTGGGTGAAGTTATAAACTAGATATTATAAATTTGTTACCATCAACCAATGACAAAAATTTGCATTTAGATAACAAATTGTTTTCTACTGGATGATCACAGTGATTTAAAACTACATTTTTACTAGTTTTATTTCTAAGTTAGCTTTATGGTTAGTGAAATTTTTTAGAGAAAAAAATCTCTTTACTCTGAACTGGAAAAGTTATCATTTGTTTCAGAGCATTTCAAAAATTAATCCCAACTCAACTCAATGACAGGTTTTTCGATATCATTGGTTTGTCACTTATTATTTTGCTAATCCTAGTCGGAAATGGTAGGTTGTTTTTAGTATTAATAATAAGCTATCAGCTGGCTACAATCTTTGTTTTCGGAAATTGCAATTTAATATCCGGTTGTTAACCGAGACGAAAAGAACCCTTTTTTATACCTTCGAACGGCAATTTTGTAAGTTCTTAGCAAGATTTTTTTTTCATTCTGTCAGCGATCAAACGAAGAACTATTGGTTTTCAAAAAAATTGAAGAAAATGGTTGAAAAATATATATATTTTTTCTAACTTCTGAAGTTAAAATGGCACAAATATCAATTACACTTTAAACAAAAAATGTAATGAGTTTCGGTGCGAACGTTAAAAAATATAGAGTAGTTAGTGTTCAGTTCAAATAAAAAATCACCTTAGCTCGGATAAATAATTTTTCTTTCCTCCATTAAAATTTGAATTTGGCGAAATAGAAGCAGTACTTTTAAAATGGAGAAAAACAGAAACATTTTCAGAGAATTCTCATTTCAGGTTTATAAGTTTACCCATTAATAAAATTCAGGGGAAAGGTTAACTTTTCTTTCTTTTTCAAATTTAATTTTCTAACCAATTAACCAATTACCTTTCCATTATAATTCGCAGCAGTGCATTTTTATTTCTACCCACCAAGTTTTTACTTTCCTCCCGTGTTATTTTGCTCCGTAAAATTCACCTTTTTATGGTATCACTCTACCTTCAGTTATAACCCGCTGCTTTTTAGCTGGCTACATTTTTGATACTTTTCAACAGAATAGGCGCCAATTGAAGTCCACAAGAAATCCCCAAGCTCGAAAAAGCAATTTGGTAAAAACGGTCAGAACAAAAAAAGATATCAAGCC